GTTGGAGGAATCAAGAGATATTTCAAAAAATGGATCTTCATCTTTACTTATGTTCTCCTCCTAAAGAGAGGATTTTTGGAAGTAGGGATTGTGTTCGAAGAAGGTGACATCGAGGCTGACAAATACTCTTTTTGTGATTTGATTGTAGCATTTATTCCCCTTTTGTGTAGGTGAGAATCCAATGAATACACATTTAATTGCACGAGGTTCGAGTTGACTTTGATGTGAATGTATGTGGACAAAGGTTGTACATCCAAACACTTTTAGAGGGAGGTTGGAGGTGAGACGAGTGTTGGGGACGAATTTCTGGAATTTTTGGAGTGGAGTTTCGAAATTGAGGGTACGACTAGGCATTCTATTTATGAGGTAGGCTGATGTCAAAATTGCATTGCCCCAAAAGGTTTTGTGTAAATTTGTAGTGAACATTAGGGCTCGAGCTACCTCAAGTGTCTATTTTTCTGCTCCGCGTTTTGTTGAGAGGTATCAACACAAGTACTTTGGTGGATTATTCCATTTTCTTGGAGGTAGGTTCTTAGTATACTATTGAAGTATTCAGTGTCATTGTCTGTGTGCAAAATTTGAATTTTTGTCTGGAATTGGGTTTGGACCATTGAATGGAAATTTATGAACACTGAATGAACATCGAGTTTTTCTTTTAGCATGTAGACCCAACAAAGTCTGGTATGATCGTCTATAAATGTGACAAACCATTTTGATTTGGTGCGATTGGGGGTTCAGGAGGGTCCCCAAAGATCGCTGTGTATCATAGCGAATGGTCTAGATGGTTCATGTGCAGATTTTTTGAATGTCGAACAGTGATGTTTTGCGAGTTCACAAATTTCACAATTAAGATCGAAGGATGTTTTATTCGAAAATATTGAGGGAAATACATGTCTTAGATATTGAAAATTGGGATGAACCATTCTATAATATCATAAGAAAATTTCACTATCCTTAGGGACAAAAACAGAATCTCAACTAGCGAATCTACGTTGTTCACTCACATTAGTTTCGTCAAAGTAGTAGAGCCCATCACACTCTTTAGCACTGCCAATCATCTTCTCCGATGATAGGTCCTGAAAGACACAATAAGAAGGAAAAAAATTAGCGGAGCAATTTGAACTTTTTGTTAATTGGCTAATGCACAGTCGATTGCAGGATAGATTCAGAACATGTAAAACGTGTTCAAGTGTAATCAAATTAGATATTCGAATGCTCCCTTTTCCAGCTACTGGAGATGGAGAGCCCTCTGCAATTTTAACCTTACGATTGCCAGCACAAGGTGAGTATGAAACAAATAGATGGTGAGAATCCGTTATATGATCGGACGCACCGGAATCAATAATCCATGGTACTTTCGAGATTGAGGTGGTGTTAAGAGCTCTCAGGCAATTACCTTTGTGGGCCAAGGAACTTGACGAGTTAGGTGGTTGAAAGTTGGAAAACATTTTCTAGAGCTGTTCCAGTTGTTCAGGATTGAATGTACTGCCTGGAGTGAAATTTTGTATAGCAGATGAATTGACTGCAACTTGGTAGCTTTGATTTCTAGTATTTAGTCTTGGTTTCCAATCAATCCCAGCACGTATCTTCCTTATGTCCAGGTTTTCGACAGTGGTCCTTATGTCTTGGGTTGGATCCAAATTTTTTTGTTCCCCTATGTATTTGGGCTCCTGAATCAGACCCAACAAATTTAGGCCCATCATGTGCAATATTTTAAATTTTGGCAATTGCTCCCTTTGGCCCAATCTCATATGACCCGCTAGGCCCAATAGCATTGGATGGAAGGGCTGATCCATCAACATTGTCTTCAGGTCCAGACTCTCCCTTCTTCAACACGATCGATCATCGACTCTCTTAGTGCCTCACTTTGGTAAACGCGTCGCGGGTCGACGGTAGTGGGCGACGACTAAGGATCCGGCCCCTCACATCGTCGAGTTCCCTGTTTAACCTAGCCAAGAATTCACACGCTCGTTTTCCGCCTTTTCTTTTTTCGAACACTGTCACTTGCACAATCTGTTAAGAGTTGGGATTCCATCTTAATAAGGTCAATCTTATTAAGCGAAGTAATCCAAGATCTTATAAATTAGTCTATATTTCGGTATTTGACCGATGTGGGATTATATTCCCTTAACACAATCCAACTGTTCATCGGTGCTAAGGTCCAATTCTTGCCATAAACTAGTCATCTCCATATAGTATTCAGTAACTTCCCTTTCTCCTTGCTTTGCCTTCCATAATTTCGAAAATTTTGGACGAGTCCTTTGCGTCGGAGTACATATCGTCCCACACATCTTTCGCCATTGCCATGAAGAGATAAATTTTACCAATGGATGGCTGTATAGAGTTGATGAGCCACGACATCACCATGGAATTTTCAGATTTCCATTTTTGTTGAAGTGTCGGATCTGTGGGCTACTTAGCATCGCCGGTAAGATATCCAATTTTTCCTTTCCTGTCGACCACCAACTTAATTGATTGAGCCCACTCTTTGTAATTCCTACCATTGAGCTTCTCAACCATGAGTTGAAGAGAGGAGTTATCAACTCCGATTGAGTTCATGGTATGGATGCTTTTAGTTTGACTGATACCGGATTCAGAGGAGGTTGAGTTTCTGCTGTTAGCAGTGTTTTCTGCCATTGATAGCTGGGTTTGAAGTTACCCGAGCTCTGATACCATGTAGAACGGGGAGTAGAAATATAACAATTTTATTCTTAATTCATTGATTGATAATTCATCACAACCCTATACATCAATATATAGTGCAATACAATGAAAAAGAAGGAAAGAAATATTCTAACTTAAGAAGTAAAAGATATTTTTTAAATTAACTCTAATTATGGCATATCCAAAATATTACAACCAATCCCTAATTGATCAAATCGGGATTTCTATAGTCATCAATGAATGTGATGAACCATCTAGCTCCGGAAAGAGTGTTTACTACAAATCACTATGAACAAGAGAAAAAGGGTTTGATTTTAAATGTGACCTTAAATTGGGAATGCGCATGATCACGTTTAGCAAATTCACAAGTTTCAAGCTCAAACATATTTTAATTTCTTAAAAAAAGGAAATAACATTGAGATAGTGGAAATTAGGATGTTAGGACCTAAGGTGCCAAAAATTTATTTCATCCTCACATTTTCTAGAGGTCCAACTTGAAAAGGCTTGTAATTCTGTTGTTTTTCTAGGTTCCTCATCCAGGATAAATAGGCTCATCTGCTTCCCTAGCACTGCCAATCATATTCCACCTCTGATCCTGAAACAAGCAATAAGTCGGAAAACATTTGATTTCTCAGTTAAAGTTTGATCTAAGTTTGCTTGTAGACATTAAGTTGCATAATAAATTAGGAACACGCAACATTGGATTCAACATTGGGGTTCTTGAAACCAAAACAGAACCCTTTCCAGCAACAGAAGAAGTTGAACCATTTGCTGTTGTGACTGTTTGATGACGGAATATGAGATGAAAATATGTTTGATGAACCTTTCATATGGTCTGTACCCCCTGCATCTCTGATCCAGGGGTCTGATTTTGTAGAATTGAGTGCAGCAAGTTAGTTACCTGTTTGAGCTAGATATGCACGAGATAAAGGATAGGATGAAAGTGTCTTTTGATTCATTAACCTGCAGATGTGCTCTAGCTGATTCTTGGTAAAAATTGGTTGTTCCAGAGATCTTGCATGGATTGAGCCATGAGATTTTTGCATATTAGATGCAGCATGGAGCCCTTGGTTTGTACTGTCGGGTGTAGAACTGCCTTAACCCCAAAAAAGTAACTTTTGTTCCACCCAGAGCATTGTCTGACTTTATCTCACGTTTCGCAGCAGCAAGAGCAGAATATTCTGTTTCTTTTTACATTATTGAGCTAACTAAACAGGAAAGAAGGCTGGAATTGATCTTCAGAAAGGCTAATCATCAAAAGATAAATGTTAGAACCATATATGGCTCTGATACCATGTTGATTTTGGGGGAAATGTTTCTTATATTGAATCAGAAGAGTTACATGGTACATAAAGGAAAAAAGACAACTACTCTATCCTATTTTACAGCTATACAATCAACAAAGAATCCTACACAATTTAGAGACATAAAAGCAGGAAACTCTAAATGTCTCCAACTAAGGAACATTGCTGATTTTGTGATCCAGTTGGCTGATTTTTTCAATTCCAGTAAAGTCTTTTATAATTCCAGAAATTCTGTATTTTGTACACAAACAAGAGAAAACTATTAAACCTTTCTAATGGCAGTGCTCATTATTACAAGGCAGAGACAGACATCTATCTCAAATCCTCTGTTTGACCATTCCCGTCGTGCTTTTGAGATCTGGTGAGGAATGGCTAATCTCCAGAGAAAAAATTGAAAGAGAGAGAAAAAGAGTATAATTATGATACATGTTACTGAAGCTTTTCTGGATCCTTCATCTAATCTTTGTCATGAGAAGAAAAATAATCTTCGTTGATACCACGTTAAGTGCTTGTGCTAGACCTGGGAAAAGTTGAATTAGTACTAGTTAGCTGTCTCCTTAAAATTTCTTTTGTATTTGTAGTGGAGAATCAAACCATACCTTTTCTTTGCAGGCTACCATAACATGAACTTTTGAGGCTACCAGTTTGATTATATCTTCTTGTTGTCTGGGTGACTTGAATTTCTCAACTTCCTTTGGTCTTCTGCACATGCTATTTGCATTTTAGGTAGGGTCCTCAGAAGCGGAGCACACTGTATTTTTGTTCTATAGTTCATGATGTCTATATTCAAGAGGACGTGTTTTTAACAAGCCAAGACCTGATAGAAGTTCCAAAAGTGCCACTCTATGCTGCTTCTCTTCTTATGTTTGTAGATTCTGATTGATAATGTCTTCATTCTGATTGATTTAAGGCATATTGAACATAATTAGGCATATACTATTCCTTTATCCTCCCCCCACCAAATTATTTTACATCAATGAAATGGAAAATGTAATTATTTTATTGAATGCCTGCCTTTTCTCTGTTTGGCAGTCTGGTCTTGATCCTAATCAAGTGGATTACATAAATGCACACGCTACATCAACTCCTTTGGGTTAGTCTAATTTATCAATAATGTTTCATCAAAAACTTCAAGAAACATCTGTGTTATGATGCTACAAATTGAGTAAACATGTTTAAATAACTCATTCAGGTGATGCAGTGGAAGCCAAAGCAATTAAATCTTTATTTTCTAGTCATGTAGTATCGGGTGCTTTGGCCTTGTCCTCAACTAAGGTAACCTCAGTTGTCCTATAAGTGTGCATCTTTTTATAGGAAAAGGAAAATATGCATAATAATACAATTTAGATTTACACAGAACATGGAACAAAATCTTCTCCTATCGGTTAGACAAGTCAAACAATAGCCTTCTTTTCTACCATACTTTTGTCATTTCATATTAGTATTGAATATTGTCGTTCTGTTATGACAACATTGAATTGAATCTGTATTTTCCTGGTGACACTGCCACAGGGTGCTATTGGACATCTTCTTGGAGCAGCTGGAGCTGTTGAAGCTATCTTTTCTATATTAGCCATACACCATGTAAGGAAATTTATTTTGAGGTGCAATGTATTGCAGTCTTGCCAGTTATTAATAGTTCTATAGCTTTCAATGGTTTGAGTAAAAAGTATCAAGTTCCAAAAGAATCTGCAAGTATTTGTTCTTTGAGTTTTTGCCATCTTAATTTACTTAATAAAGTGATCTGCTTGGTTAGGCGTGCCCCAGTAACTTATTAAGCCCTTGTTTGATCTCCATTATCTTAGAATTTATTTTTTCTCAAACTCATTTTTAACTACACAGTTTCACAATAAAATATTTTACTTGTAAACCTTAAACTTTTTCCCACTTTTTAACTACACATTCTTGAAAAATTCACTATTACAAAATGCTTTTTCAACAAAAAAAGGGGGCTCAAACACATGCTATATAAAGTCTACTTCGAGGTTTTGAAAAGTCTGGGATTACTTTTATATGCTTTCATTACTTTTATATGCTTTCATTCATGTCCAAACTATATAGGGTGGCTATATATGAGTATGGAATGTAAAGGTCATACGAAGTTTTTGCTGGCTTCAAGATACCATACTTATCATTTTTGCATTGAAGACTTGCAATGTAAGACTACACATTGGAGAGAGATTCTTTAGATCAACTTACATTTATTTTCCTTTTTGAGTTGTTTTCATGTTCTATCTAGATAGTTTTATATCCACTATAATTACACAGTTGTCACATAATATTGATTATTGGCATTACCTGCATGAAATCTTGTGCTCATTGTTGAATCACTTTATCTGAAAGCTTAAGCTATTAGATAGAGTCGCATGTATATCATTCCAAAATTGTCTTCAACATGCTTTCTCAACTGTAGGAGGGATTTATATTTTCCATCAAAGCCTTAGACATGCACAATTTCATTTAAATGTGTGGCGGTGAGATTTGAATTCAACCCGTTTGTCTGCTATTATATCATATTGAACTACTTGATGTAAAAGCTTAAGATTTTAGATAGGACTACATGTATATCATTTGTCTTTGACACTTTATATTCTAGGGGTCAGCTGCATGCAACCTTTTTTCAGTGTACACTGTACACTTAGATCCAAAGGTTCCTCTTTCAATGGTTCGATTCTTTTGTAATCAATGAACTCGTATAAAATGTTGAATGTATAGATTATGTCAGCCACTGCACCGGAGTTGATAGCACGTACACATTGAGATTTTTTCCTCAAAACTAGTAAAGGAACAACAGTATGATTGGTTTTGGGGAGAACTTTAACATATATCTCATAGATTCATTAACAGACTAGTATGCTGTAAACTGTACTCCATTAAGTGAAATTTTAAAGCGTTATTCCATAAGAGGATTTCTGAAATAGATGTGGATAATGTGAAAATCCTATATGGCATCAAACATTTCTTTCTGGCAGATGACTTGGCGGAGCATTGTTCAGATTTGGCATTTTGTAATTTACGAGAATTCTCTGTTAGATTTCCCATTGGCTTATGCACATATTTCGTGGCAGGGAGTTGCACCCTTAACGCTTAATCTCACAAAACCAGATCCTGTGTTCAATGGCAAGTTCATGCCTTTGACTGCTTCAAGGAGGATGGCTATTAAAGCAGCTCTTTCAAACTCTTTTGGCTTTGGAGGAACAAATGCGTCCTTGCTGTTTGCTTCCATCTCTTGAGGACATGAATAGTTTGCAATACTTGCAGGCTTAACATTCAGCTAGAGGACGCGTACAACTCCCAAAGCGAACATGTGGAGTATGCTTTCCTCTAAACAAGTATCAGAAGAACTTTTCCTCTCATTTTCTACAAGATTTTGCTTTGTATTCTTTGACACTTTCTTGGTTTCTTATCTATCTTTTCATTGTTCTTTATATTTATTAACGCATTGACTGAGACCAATGATTATAGAAAACCGCCTATCCTCCAGCCAAAAAAAAATAAAAAATAAAAAATGGAAGGAAAATTGTGACAGATATTGCTTTGAGACATGGTGCATGTTGGGAGTTTATTGTGCAAGGGCCCTGCTACTTGGACAATACCCTGCCCAAACAGGGGTGATGCGTAGACACCCGGCTAATAGGGGCTCCACATTGCCCCGTTTGGATAGGACATTGTCCAAAAGGAAAAACTCATTGTGTAAATCACTTGTGTTTTTGCATGCCTAAGGGTTTTAAATCATCCTCTGCTTTTACGACACACCTCTTGTTCAAATAGTGAAACTTTTATGAACCTAGCCATGGTGGAAATCTAGTGACGTGTAATGTTATATGGACATAGACGTTACAAGAACATGTTTCAAGGTGATAAGAAGCTTGTCATTAGAAATTACTTTAAAAGGGTAAATTTCATGTGGAGTCATTGAACATTCAACGAAATTTCAATTGGATTGTTAAAAGTTTATGTTGCTTTAATTGAAACGTTTAGTTTCGAATTTAGTCATTTTGTACCATTTTGCGATCCATCACATCCTAAGTGTCATAATTTAGATATTGATTTATATAATTATTGAATTTCTATTTAATTGCTATTTAGCACACTAGAAATGGAAATGGTGAAAAAGAAGGGGATAGGGCATTCCCATACGAGGGTCTTACCGACCCCTCACTGTAGGGGATGACCCCACATGAAAAAAAAAAAAATTTGCGGCGGGGCCGACGATGTGTGTCTGGCAGGGGTACCTGCAGCACGACCCAAAAAAGAGAACTATTGCAATGTCTAATGATTACAAGGTTGGATTTTTTTCTTTTGATATTTCTATGACATGGCATAGTGGTAAAATTGCATTTGACGATGATTAAGTGAAATAGGTATCATAGTCAGTTAAAAGTAATTTTTAAAGAGATGGCATGTGTCGAAGCAGTAAAAATTGAAACTAAATTAAAGTTCAATGATGTGTCTGGAATTGAAATTGAAATTGAAATTGAAGTTCGCTAGCCTAAAAGTTTAGTGACAATTGAAATTTTACTGAGAGTTCAATTAATACATACGAAATTTATCATCTCTTCTTTATTTTTATTTTTTCCAATTATTTTGAAACCCGTGATTAAAAAGAGTGGTTCCCTAAACCGTCCCATCTCACACACATTCTATAGCTAATCTTGAAGAAAGTAACTCAGAGAAATCGATCGCTTCTCGACAAGGAGCCCATTGTGGCCTAAGGTTTACAATCCCATCATACTCCCGAGTACTCGTTTGGGGGGTAAGGACAAGGTTAGATACACTGCCAATAACACATTAACACCAGACCAGTCATCCATGAAATAATAGTTGTACTTTTGTACTTGAGTAGTAATTTTGGGCATTTTTTATTATTTATTTATTTATTTTCCCTCCCCTAAGGGAATCAAAAGATTTCTCCACTTTCCTATAGTGATACTCGAGCCCAAATCATTGCTGTGATAGAATGATAAGGACGTAAAACGTTATATTTTTTCATACATTAATGCTTACATTTTCATGATTAATTGATGCTTATATATCCATTAATGCATACATTTTCATGATTAATTGATGATTAAATATACTTAGTACCATTTTATTTTAATTTAGGTTGTAAATGGTCATACATGGTGGAAATTGGAAGAAACAAGCGAAAAAAGACTAGAGTGAAAGAAAATAAAAGTTTAGAGATTAAGTTGCAAATAATTCATAGATGACATGGGCGATGAAATGAAGATTGAAGATGCTAAGGCCTCAATTGGATACAATTGAAAGATAAAGTAACAAGATTACAAGAGAAAATGACTGAAATGAAATAAAATCAAAGTTTAAGGACGAAAGTGCAAATATTAAAAAAAAATTTCTAACCTTGCGTTGAAGATTCGAGTTTTAGGGGTCAATCGGATGAAGAAAGAAGTCAAAGGGATGAAATATAGTCAAGGTATTATCACATATCAATTTTCAGGCGAAAAAATTATGTTCCAAATTTTTGTCTCTGTTTGAGATCTATTTTTGGCATAGCAAACATCGAAATTGGAAAAAAACCTACGTCTAGAAAAATTGTAGATCTTTGTGTTAACTTTTCAATGCACTTTGAATCACCTTAATTGAATATCAGGAGAGAAAGTTATGACCAAAATATTAAAAGCTGTTCGGCGGAGAAAATGCTTGTACTATGCGGTTGCATAGTTCAAAAAACATGCAACCACATTCAACCCTACAGAGAAAATTTTGAAGTTCAACAAGTGATCCATGTGGTAGCATCCTGTCGCATAGTACAAGATTTTGTTCGAATATCAGGTTCCAAAAATCCGTTCGGATCAGACCAGGATGAATGGGATTGGTCTGAACTCTCGCTCGGATGGTTGACTCCCGCCGCCGACAGATGCCCCATGCCACCTTTCGTGAACAGCTATGCCCGAGAATGAATGAATTGTGATATAGTGCCGACTTATGCAATTAAAACTTTACTTAGCAAGGTTTTGGGCAACATCTTTGACCTCTATACGAGTCATATAAATACTAGAATGCCCCTCATTTCCCTTCTCTCTAATTTTGCTCTTAGAATTATCATGTATAACCAAATTCTTGTACTCGGTCGAAGGAGATTGAAGCCTCGGAACTATTCCAACTATGAGATCTAATTTATTTTCATAGTTTAATTGTTGTTTCGAGTATTGAATGTTCTTATGCACTTATTTGCATGATTGTTGCATTTAATCGCTAAAAGGCCTACTAGTTTATTATTTGTTGCAATATACCGCTAAGTTAAACATTAAATTCTTACTTGTTTGATCCCTTTTAACTTGTGAAGCAACTAGAGTTTAATAATTTGCTGCATCAGAAATTGTTAAAGTTTAGGAAGAATGTTTGATTAAACTAAAAAAACTATTTGTATTTGTATTGTTTAGCTTCATTGATCTCTCTAGTTATTAAGGCTGTTACTAGATTAAATCTATTGCACTTGTCTTGGATTGTTTAGTAATTAGGGTTAGTTAGATCGCTTGTTTTTTAATTAATTACAATTAAGGAGATATAGGAAAATAGTTCCAACGGTGAATATTCAAAATATGAATTGATATATACTTGCATCGATGACCAGTTGTGAAATTCTGATGGTAGATGTTGACTTGGACCAAGGGGTGCTCTTTTGATTGCTTTAGATATTTTAATTTGAATTGTTTGTGTTATAATCAAACCCCCGTTCTTATTTATGAAGCATAAAATTAAACCACATACTTCTCGTGGGAACAATCCTTACTTCCACTACTACATTTGTTTTTAGAAGTAAATGTTTTAGTTTTGGGTTCTTGTCACAGTACTTCCCATAAATTTTCGCTCTTACCACTTGCACAATTACAATTCACTTTTCTAAACAATGACCACTCGACTTCCATGTCCTATTAACAAACACGTAATCAAAAGAAAAATTAATGCGTTGCTCCGTTCGGATTCAATAGCTCGTCTTTGTGATTGAATGAACATAAGGCCTTCCTAAATAGCATAAATTGTGAATCATTTCTCCGAATAAATGTTGCAAAGGCAGTACTTGTTGAATGATTCACATAAAATAAAAATTAAAGAAATAGTCTACATATAAAAATTTGGACGAATACTATTAACAAGGTTGACATCTTGAGATTGAACTTCTAGTCTTAATACTACTAACTCAACTTTGTCTGCTGTTGACGCCATATAGCTCTTCCCCTTAACCAATGCATCCACGTTCAACTTCATATCATTAACAAGTGGGTAGTTCCATTTACCAACTTAGGCTATTCTAATGTGGTTATTAATAAAGAAAGCTGCACGAGTTGCCTGAACTTTCATCAAATAAGATGAAGCAACTCATAGTACCCTTCTAGGGTTTAGGATATCTCTAGCAATACTTTGTTATTTCTCTCCTTCATTTGTGAGAGTGAGTCTTAGATGCATTTAACTCAAGAGTGGTGTCTTTTCTTATTACACTGCATCGTGGACAGTGGACATTGATAAATGTGTTCTACATGTTTATCCGAATTAGTAAATTTACTTAAAAATTTGATTACTTGAATGAATTCTATTTACTTTGTGTATTTAACTTTGAAAGCCCAAGAATAACAAATTGGGATTGGGGGGGGGGGGGGGGGAGTGAATTGTTTTTTAAATTTTTTTCGAGAAACTTAAACAAGTTATGAATGAATAAATCAGCCAAGTAATATGCACAATACAAAAAGTAATAAACAAAAGGGAAGAAATTGTGCAAATAATATAATTGTGGAGGTTCGAACTAAAGTAATAATTCACATCTTCTGTTACTAAGCTCTTTGTAACGAGCAAGGTTTCTTCACTAAATCTGATTGATTTATGGTGCAATTCAAACGCTCACAACGCTTCTGGTGATTTGCAAACAAGAAATACCTATTCTTATACAATATTGAACTTTTTGGGACCTCAATATAACCCAAACTATCGAGCTTTGTAGGGACCTCAATACACCCACAAAATTGAATTTGAATTATTTTACAATTTCAAAAGGTTTTTAAAGTAAAAGATTTGATAAAGATAAACAAAATGTAAGATCAATATAATTTAGCTCAAGAATATCTTACTTAAATGCTCTTAAAAGTGTTACAATGTATGTAAAGTGAAATGGTATTTATAGAGTTCAAAACTTCAAAAAAAACTCTGAGCGACCAGACAAGCAATCGGATGTCCGCTTTCGTGTCCGGACGTACGAAATTAGCCATTGTGTACCAAGTGTTAGAGCGGTAAAAAAATGACCTTTATATAAACTAGACATCCAGATGATCCCCATGTTCTCTACTTTGTCTGGATGTCTGTATTTTATAAGTTTCGTCCATTTCGACTTTACTTGTTCCGATGTGAATTTTTTTGAACAATGTAAGCCCTTTGAATGGTGTTTTTTAAAATGTGATCTAAGTTTGAGCGGTTGTTTAGGCCTGCTTGGAAGTGGATTCAAATTATTTTTTGGACCGCTGTGTTTTTTCTTGCTCCTTTATTATTCACAAAATTACATACTTTTTAGACTGGAACCGACCTCCATGTCAGTATTATTTCCCACTTGAACTCTGCTACTGAGCCCGGCTCAATAACCGATTCAGGGACAGGGGTCTGAGGTGGCATCACCTCAGCCCCCGATCTCATACATTTTTTTTTAAATTTCAAATCCAAGGGCCGAGGTTAAAACAACTCGCCACCCTGGCTTTGGGCCTGTTTTTTGGCCTGGCCAACAACCATTTTCCTTCCCACTTTTACCCTTCAATTGGAAAAGGATACAACACACGACACTTCACCTACCAAAATAATCAATTCTCCATCTACCCCACCACTATACTGTCTCAACAACCCGAAATCCCTTTTCCTTGTCAACTAGCAGACGGCTGTGAGAAAGGAGGCAACTAGCAGCAAATGAATATTTCTTGATTTCTTAACACATCTTCCACCATAATCAGAGGTAGTGTAAACTAGTGTTGCCTCTTTCTTCGACAGTAGAAGCGAAGTGGTAGTCTATATGACTCTTGATCGCCAATGACAAAATATACAGATAGCAGCAGATCTCGAAGACATCAGCCCATTCACATCTCCCACAACTTGTAGCTAGTGGAAGACAGCATTTTTCCCTTTCTGCTGCCAAAGAACACCATTTTGACACAAGCATAGAAGAAACGACCCTAGTCGTGTAATAGTAACATTGGTGCCAGCTATAAACAAACCTCCTCCACAATCACACCACTCTTCAACTGTGCGAGTGGACGGCACCATGGATCTATTATTTTCTCTGATACAAGCTTTTCGGTTGAAGACGGTCTTTTCCTGAACTTGGGTACACCTTGTGGTTTATCTAACTGATTTTTTTTTCGTATCTTACTACAGACGTCGCCCCATGTCGCCATACGGGGGACATGGGACGTAAAAATGGGATCCTATCAACTTGTTCTGACTTAGGATAATAAGCTCATGAGCTTGGTCTTACTTCAACATCGAGAAACGAAAGAAGACTGTCATCTGAACTCGTCTAGCTTCAATGCCTCTCACGTTCGGAGTTAGACTGGGGCCCGTAAGAATGTACAATGAAATTTGTACGAAACGAAGATATTTTGTTGCTTGCAGGATGGTCATTGTCGAAAGGACACCGGAATGGGAAGTGTTTCATGAAACACGGCTGGAAGACACTAATTTACTTGTTCAATTCCAACTCCGGCCACAATTGGAATAAGCAACAACTAAAAAATTGATGGGATGCTCTCCGCCTAAAACACAAAAGATTCGAGGAATTGTTGAATTGCAGTAGTATTGCATACAACCCATCAACTGGCAGAATTTGTGCTTATGGGGAGTGGTGGGCTCGAAAGATCAAGGTACCATCGTTTCATGACCAATCGTTTACTTGTGTGTGAGATGAAATATTACTTTTGGTCGTGTCATTGGATTCATTAGAGATTTTGATTTATTTCATTATTAGAGTAGTTGGTCATTTTTCGTTTCAGGGAATGCGTTTGGATTGCTATATGATCATATTACTCGGTGTTGTACTGTTCAGGAGAGGAAAAAGTTCATTGTTGTATCATTGATCTTATGCTCATGTATTTGAAAAAGTGCCGAGGTTTCCTATTTTGAGGGGTTTTGATAGAGTGGGAGTTAGATCGGATGGAATTACTACAACTCCCTATTGTCCTAATTTTTTTTTTTCAGGATTTACGCTAAAATTTGCTTATGTTTTCATATATTAACTTCATTTGCATTTCTGTGTAACGTATGTGACAACCTCTCCATTTTATTGGCATAGGAGAACAAAGACTACAAAGAATTTAAGGACAAAGACTGTCGAGTGGTGTACGGTTACAAGGCTCTATTCGGCGACACGTCAGACAGTGATAAGTATGTAGTCACACCAACAAAGCTCTGTCGAACTAGCGTCGCGATGTTTGAAGATAGTAGATATGAAGACCATGTGACAAGGTATCAGCTGATGTCGATAGCAGCTGTTCAAGTGACGAGCCTGAAAAAAGATATGGCTAAAGCAAGCATGGATGTGTCGATCCCGTACAACGGAGACAAATGAAAAGCAGATACCAGGAAGAAAAATGAGGAGAAGAAAAATTTCACTCTTGATCTTTCCTACTTAGTTAATCACGCACAATGGCCGGTGAGAGGGACGCTACCAAAATCGACAACTTCGTCAGACCTGTTGTGCCGTACCCAAAGACATGTATGAAAGAGTTATTAGTGACTGGTAGACTGAAAAACAAACTGATCTCTACTTATGAATGTGTACCTTCTTATCTCGAAAGCGCAAATGGGAGATATTGGACATGTAGGACGATGCGAATGAAAAATTTAAGTGGGTCGAGTGGAATGACAGGAGTACCGAAAAGCATAGTAGCGATAAGAGCTTAATGTGACATTCGAAATGGAGCCCCGTGAAATTTGTTCCATGAGAAAACATTTGGTGGAATTTCGTTATGTTTTAATTTTGTATGTTTGATAGACTGCTTCATGCTATGTATATGGTAGTGCTAAACACTTTGGTTCGCATATATTGTCACCATGCTTGCCTTCAAAGACTTTGATTTGCATAGATTTTCACCCTACTTCCCTGCAAAAGATGTAGTTGGATGTTCGTAAATATTTTCAACCAAGTACTCTATAGAACACTTACACTTCACATCGTTTACCTATTTCACTTTAATTTTTTTGGTTTACTTGCAGTACTTGCATATACTCATCATTTCATTGGCATACAGTTATTAGTGGCCTTAGTATATAAAGGCAATGCATATCTACATGTTTTTACATACCCTCAAAGGCATAGTTGGGTGTAACCTACATTGCTTCTTTGATGCATTTTGATATCTTATATCATAGTAGTGGTAAAGCACATTTTGATATCAATTTGTGCGTTGCTACCGGCCTTCGATAGCGAGGACGAACATGGTAAGGAGGCAGTTATGGAAGAGCTGTAGGCGGATTTCGATATTGTCTAATAATTGTATGCCAATAAAATGATGAGTGTATTCAAAGTCTTTGAAGGCAAGCATGGTGACAATCTATGTGAACCAAAGTGTTTAGCACTGCTATATACATAGCATTTATGGAAGAGCTACGTGCGGATTTCGATATTTGTCGATTTCTATTCTCATGGAATGGTCATATGTTCATGTTAGATGCTATGAAATGCAGCCCACAACAGTGCTATGTAGAGTTCCATACGTATCCTACAATGTTGTGAACCTTCACACATATCCTTTGAGACAAATATAGATTGTGCAGTTCGTAACAGATAGAAATGTATGAGAAAATGGGTATGTTTCTTTGCATTTTAGCACATGGAAAAGGCTATAGACGGTTCAGATGCTGTTCAATCATTCATTAAAAATCGTTGGACACTACTTCAAACTTGTGCTTTGAACGATCCTCGAGTTCTCTAGATGCATAATTTGAGCAGATCCAAACTACAATCATGGTGCCAAGCATAACATCCCGAATCGAAATAAGCATTTGATGTCTAGGATTTCATAGGTATAATTGACGAGTCAGAGCCATCCTTTCGCGAGACCAACGATTGAATTTTATCAAAGCATAGGAATACCTACACAGAATGTGCTAGCAGCTTGTGATTTCAATTGTGTTTCACATTTGTGTTGGCAAGCACAACGAGGAATACTCATGAGACTAGAATCTTGGCTCGAGCTATACATAGCTCTGAGATTCACTTTCCGCAATTGGCACCTAGAAACTATTATTCGGTGGACTTTGGTTCGCCCATCGACTTGGTATATGGCACCTTATAAGGGTCCAATATATTATACCAGTTTTAACAATTTTTCGATGAGGAGAGAGGTTGCAGGAGTAACTTTCGAAATGCACGCGAGAAGTTTAATTTCAGGCACTTCTCGTATAGAAATGTAATTGAACGTGCATTCGGAGTTTGGAAGAGTCGTAGGAAAAATACTCCATCGTCTGTTGAGTTATAATTTTGTAGTGCAAATAGCCATTGTAATAGCTTCTATGGGTGATCACAACCTCCTTTGATGGGTGGGGATGATCGATGAAGCATTTACAAGAGCGGAGACGAACCTTGATGCAGTAGAGGTGGAGCTACCAGACGAACATGATGAAATTGAAGTGAAATTGTATACACTAAAAATCCTATGAAATGAGTGGGATTGATTCAAGGATTATTTGGCACAACAACAATGAAATTAGTTGTTTATGTTTCAATATTTCCATCAGTAGAACGATATTTTTCCACAAGAAAGCAATGTGGTGTTTAAAATAAATTTTGAATAACGCGAACATCGAAAAGAAGAAAACGAATATTTTTACCATAATGCACGTCTCAATTGCTGCCTTCCATTAATCCATTTAGTTATTGGTGGGACCGACTTCTGTAGCATTAATTACTTCCCTTGTTTTAGAGTGGAATGTTCAAAGAGTATTGGGTCTTCACGTGAGCACACATTGATGAAATATGAAGGTAAATTGGACGAACACCCATATTGCTTTGCATTTAAGATTCCAGTGGGCCCTGTTGAATTGAAATGAAAATCAATTTTGATTTTCATACAATTATGCCTAGTCCCAGACAGGGGATGAGTATCAATTTGAAATGCTTAACTTTTGAAAAATAATCTTTATGTAAGTGCTTTTCCGAAAAATAAATTTCGTGCATAAGAATTTATTTGTTGAGTATTTAATAATTCATTGCTAAAAATTGAAACATTATACCTTTACACAAAATATCTAGTCTAATGTCTTTCTTCGATGTTTGACTATTGAAGTTCTTTGTCTCGAATGATTTGTCTTGAATGATTTGACTTCCATAAGGATTTTTATTGTAAGTCCGATTTGTAATGAGAATATTTTCATAGTGACATTTTTGTCCTCAATCGAGCTACAATGTTAAAAATAAAATTGACTTGTTTATTATGATCAAAACATTAAGGATAAAGTCAACCAGATGTCAACATTTTTTCCTTTTCGATTATGACAAACAATATGATTGCAAAGTGGTATCAAACAACTGAGAAGGAAAATAAATCTTAAATATATCATGTAATCCCTATATTCACCCCCATCTTTTACAAAGCCAATAACCATTTACAAAAATCAAGAGTCTGAGGGTCAGATTGGATTCCTTACATCAAGTGAATCATTTGACAAAATTGGTGACACACCTATCTGGGAACTGTTTTCCCACCAGGCAGGTATGGTTAAAAAAGAGTAACCTGCCAAATCTGATTGTAGATCATGGCGCTTTTAAAGGAAAGAGCACTCATTTACCTATATGATTAGGTATTTGTGTTTTTGATGCTTGCCTGTTTTGAACTGTCATATTAGTTTTGCATGCAACGCTTGTATACGTTTATTTGTTTATATTGTTTTTTGGTTTCATGCATGTTTATTTTTATGTATGTGCATTGGCGCATGCATATTTAGTTTGATTTGTGCACTTGACTTTATTTTTAATTTTTTTTTTGTGTGTAGGGCATTCATTTTTGGAAAAATGAAAAACACAAAAATTGAAAAACACAAAAATAGTTGGATCTGACACACATCTGCAACATGTCATATAGTTCTTAAACTTGCTAGTTGTGATCATATATGAGCTAAATTTGATAAACTGTAAAATAATTTACATTATTTTTTTAGGTCACTTTATATTACTTAATATAGGTGTTTTCATGTACTATCTGCACTGTATACACTATGAATTTGTTAGTGGAACTCCATCGCGTGTGTGAAATTTAGATGACTGTCACATGTTAATAGGGTGATTTCGAACATGAATTGACCAAATTTAGTAGACCTAGGCCCAAAATGATTCCCCCATGAAAAAATTTATTATCTTAATGTTCTTCTTCAGGACCTATTAAACTCGAGCAATTAAGTTTGGAGGGTCTCTTAAAACTTGATACCTATGGTCAATTGATTTGGGTTAACCAGCCTAAAACTCGCTACAGAGGCCATTTCGATTGCCTAATGAAGAAGAACCCACACTTAAGATGAAAAATAAATGAGCTTGAAAAATGTGAAAAATATAATGAGCTGAAAAACATATGGAAAATTGAAAAATAAAAATGCTCAAAATAAGAGGAAGAACATTAAAAATAATAACTATATGTCCTACTAAACTTTCATGGTTTGACTTTCATTAGTAGGAGAATATACTTATTGGTAGTGATTGGCATATCCTTTCTTACAAAATTAAGGTTTGGAGTCTTGCTTGCATTAGAATAGTGACACTTTACACACATGAGTCACATGTACTATTTACTCCATTATGATCTGAACTGAGTATGTGGAGGAGATCTATGACTTATTGATTTTACTTCTGCATGCTATCAACTACATTTTAAAGTTATTATATGTTATTGCTCTATGTGATATTGATATCGTACCCTTCAGCATTTGTGACCAAATTGGAAAAATAAGTGTGCAACTGAGGGGAAGAAAAATACACACACACACACACACAAAAACATATATAAAGCGACACTTTGCATTTACATGTGTACTATTTCCACTATTTGATTGACATTTTGCATTAATGCATTGCTAAGTCCAAGGGTCATTGGGGAGAGACATAGATACATTTGTATTACTGCATAGAATTCATGAGAGTTTGCAGTAAACGGTAGCATTGCATTTTATTCCATAATATATCCATTGTTGTTTGAGTTTTGATGTTTAGTGATATTGGTGTTTCTATTGGTGTTTTGATAGGCATCAATGTTGCATCTCAAACTAGTATGTTGATTTTGCATCAAGTGCTTTAATTTTTATACTTCCCATATCACGTGCTTTTACACTGGGAATGTGAGTTTTTGGATTTTGGGAAACAGGTACAACAGGGAATGCAAGTGATGAGTGTAATTCACTCATTAAACTAACACTTCTAAATCACGATTTTTAGTTTGTTCTTGAGCACTATTGAATGTTTTAATGTGTGTGTTCCTATTGTTTTATAGCTTGGACAACTTTCGAGGAAATGCCACATTTTGGAGTTGTGATGGAGCTATAACAATGATTAGAAAATTCGAGTATGAATTGGAGAAAATTGAAGGAGAACAACATGGCAGCGAGGCTTGGAAAATGAGCATACCAAGAAAGAACAGTTTCATGGGCACCGTTTTGGCACTACACTTGGACGCTGTAGCACCAGAAGATGAAGAAACACGGCGCCAGGTCTGGGCGCCACGGTATCAACTCACGAGACGCAAAAACTTCAGATTTTTTTGGCAACTCTCGACTCGGCCCAACTTGATACACCTTGAAAACCCAAACGACTATAAATACTATGGAGAAGACCTGGAAGTGAGGTTGGATTTTCTGGGAATCAAGAAGGAACAACTAAGTACCTAGAAGGAAAATCATCAAGAGGGAAGGAAGAAAATTCCATTGGCGAGAAGATTGACGACCATCGGGTGAAGAATTCAATCGGCTTACATCAGTTTTTCTTATCCCTTTATTCTTCTTTACCATATTCTTTATTTTGTATTTTGGCATGTCAATCAATTTAAACATGAACTAAACTATTAGATCTAGGATTGATGTAGCCTATTTGAGACATGATTT